CCCCAAAACCCCAAAACCCCAAAACCCCATTTTTTGGGAAGAAGATTGAAAATTATTTGGTCTTAGGTAGGAGGAATACGAAGTCTTCGGAGTTTACTTGGATCATGTCGTTGGTCTCGAGGGGGACAGGGTCGTCACTGTGGCTGTAGGATTTGCCGTTTATGTAAAGCAGTTGTGTTTCTGATAGGTTCTTGATCTCGAAATTCTCTGTGTAGAAGTTGAATGCGATGAACGCTTGCTGGCGAGAAGTCGCAGCTGAAGTGGGAATTGAGGGATTTATTTCTAAGTCGACATGCCATGTTATAGAGCCTTTGAATCCCCTCCCTGCAGTCGTGTGTGGAGTATTTGTGTTCTTTAAAACAGGAGTAGGCGCTCTTCCAATGATGATTACTAGAGATTTCATGATATAATGCCATTTCTTCCCTTGAAGAAGTGCATAGCCTGAGATTTGATCCTAAAAATGAATTATATATCTTACATCCATCATATTCGGGGTTGTTTTGGGAGGTAATTTCTTGAACTCAATCTTAAAGTCCTTATTCCTCTGCTCGAAATACTCTTTCTCATCTAGCTTGTATTCTTCATCCATCAAGACATCAACATGCTTGAATATCCATCAATATCCTTTGTTTTGGGATTTGCCTATAAATTTACACATGGGCTTACTTTGAGATATGAATTTGGAGTACTCACTTGAGTTTATTTTCTCTTCTTCGTTTTTCAGCATTTCAAGGACTCCTTTCTTCTGAACCAAGCCAATGTATACCATAATTTGCATCAGGCTTCGGAGTTTGCCCAAGCTTTCTTCTGTCTCTTTGACGCCTACATCTCTGAGGAGAATTTCGTTCTTGAGTTGTTCGTAGTCCAGACTTGAGATGTACTTATCTGCGCTGTCTCTTTGTTTTGTATAAATTTGGTAGAAGAAAGCAGCAATGAACTGCTCATTATTGGTCGCGTATTTTCGTTGAGCACCATCAGAGACCTTCATGTTGATAATCTTCTCTTTCGATATTTTGTTCGCATCAACTTTGAAGACAATTCCGTACTTTTTGCGACACTGAGCAAAGCCGACCCATTTAAGAAACCTCTGGTTGTTCTCAAGTTTTCTTGAGATCAACCCAAGATTCTCAAGGAGATCAAATAAAGAGTATATCACTTTGAAATTTAGGTTGGATTTGTCTTCATTTTCTTTCTTGCTCATGAACTCAAGGTCACTCTTCTTCAATTCTATAAGCGCATACTTGATAATCTCGCTTTCTTCCATATAGTTCATGCTGTCAAGGAAGCATCGGATTATCTCTCTAATAAGGAAGTAGGAGAGGGCAGTCTCGTTGGATTTCATCTTGGCTGTATTATTCTATAAATTATTACAACTCTGATATAACAAAGTGGGGTTTTGGGGTTTTGGGGTTTTGGGGTTTTGGGGTTTTGGGG